TAATTAATGATGATTAAATAAATATTAATTAATTAATTAATAGGGCGTGTATACTTTTAATTTTATAATAATAATAATAATAATAATAATAATATTAATATTTACAGTATCGTTAGATTTGGGTTCAGACTCATACCCAAATCGCTAACCATATAAGATGCAAGTAAGCAACATTCGAAAATGGACTAAAAGAAAATCATCAAAAAACCTTATCAACAGATTTTTAAAAGAAATAAATAAATTTGGTTTTGTAATTTTAAATAAATTAAATTTTTATCCCAAAATTAAGGAGTTTCTTTTTTTCTATTTTTTTATTTATTTTTTAATTATTACAAAGCAAAAGTTGATTTAATGGAGATGTATCTATTCCAATGCTGTAAAATTAATATCCTCAATGTGGAGATAGTCGGATTGGCTGCCTGAGGTTTGAATACGGGATATCTTAAATTCAAATGATGTACGAGGTGAATCCACTTCATATGTGTGTGAATGAATTCCATACTTTATACCAGATGGAGTTTGGCCACCATGAACTATACTTTCTCTAATTACCTCCATAGTTGGACAGTCCATTGTCAAAGAATTGGTCATAACTTGCGAAGTAGCCCCGCCTGTCAATCTTGAAATGATAGTATACTGATTGGAGTTGAAAGCAGCAAGATGAAGTGTCAACATTAATTTTCTACATGGAGGGGTAGTACATTTAAAGGTGAATAATAATATCTCATTATTAGTTTGATTAGGTAAAGGTGTAATTTGATATTGAGATGAAACATGATCTAAAATATTATCATCCTTAGTTGTAGCCTGATTACGATAAATATGTACCCAGGGAACATAGGTTCTTTGAAATTCTTTCATAACAATTTCTGAAGTTTCAGATTTGATAACGGGATACTTAAATAATCTTTTATCTGAATAATGGACTAAACCTGCAGCAGCCACAATCCTCCACATACTTCCATCGGAGGGGTGGGCTCCCTTTTTTAATGCTTTATAATAACCTTTTCCGAAATCCATATGGAACTTGTTGATTCTTTCATGGAGTTTTGTCCTAACACCAACAACACTTCCCCCATTACTATAAAAGTTTCATATAATTAAATAATTAGTAACTACTATAGATTTCTCTATATATATAAATAAATATGGCATACCCTTCAATGAAACCTTCTGGAAAACCCCATGTGACACCGTTGGCAATACATTCTAATTGGGCAGAAGCATAGTGTGCCATAGCAAATACTAAGGAATTTAATGAATACTCATTAAATCTATCATCAGATAATAGGATAATGCATCTCTCAGCATCACCAGTGAATATTTGATATTGGGTTCTGCAAAGTTCTTTTATTGCTTCATCTCCTAACTCTTGAATTTCCATGGCAAATTTACTTTTTTTCTTTGGTACATTAGAGACTTTTTGGCCATTTCTTTCTGCCCATAAATTGACAGCATCTGAAAAATTATTACCAGAATTAATTAAAGATAAAACTTCGGTGTCGATAATTGCATTAAAAACTTTATCAAGTGCAGCATCAATTTTTTGATCCATCAAAGCAATCATTTCTTCTTTTAGTTTTTTTATTTCTCTTTGAAAATCTTCAACAGTAAGATACTTGGGACCTGGCCAAAATGCACCAAAAATACCACTTAGAAAGCTACCAACGACAGGAATAGATCCAATTGCACCACTTAAAACACTACCAGTTGCATCCATGAAACTATCTTCACTAGATTTTATTCCCTTTGACTTAACTTCCATTTTTTTTAAATATTTGATATCAATAATGAAAATAAAAAATAAAATTTAATTTATATAAATTTACAACCTTTGAAAAAAAAAAAATAATAAAAATTTAATTAAAAAAAATATTTTTATTATCTCTTTATTTTTTGTAATCTACCAATCCACCCCCAAATGAAATAAAATTTTATTTGAGATTGTAAATTCACCACTTCATTTTCCCTTTCTTTTTTTAGAACCCCTATGGGGTAAAAATTTATCAGTTTTTACTCTTTCATTTCTTGACTTTGATTTTTATAACAAATGGGGTAATTAAATAATTTTTATTTTTTATTATTTTAATTCAAAATTATTTATATGTTTTAAAAAAATTAAAATTAAAATAAAATGATAAAATAAAAAAGTAGGGGGTTTGCTTTTATGGGGTTGTAGTTTTATTTTTGTTTTTTATAAATTTTAATATGGAAAATGAATGCAAAAAATTTAAAATGTATTATTAAAATTTATTAATTATTATTTTTTTTCATTTTTGAGTGTATGTTTTGAACCAACTCCATTGGTAAAATAAACTTCAATTAGTAAAAATATTGATTTATTTTCTTCTTTGATATCAATAAATATTTCTATAAAAAAATAAAAAGGGAATATTTATTTTATTAACTTGATAATTGATATGCATTGGGGGTTAAACCCAATATCGATAAATTTGATGATGGAAGCAATATAAAAATAAATAAATTATTTTTTCTATATTTCTGTAAATAACTAAATAATCAAAAATTATATATTTTAAAATTATTTATTTAATATTATATATTTTTTTAATATGGGATCCTTTGTTAATAATTACAGAAATATATTGAAATTTAAACTTTGATAACTCTGCATTATAAAATATATATATGTGTGAGCAGATGCTCTGTGATGATTATTTTAGAATAAAATATTTAATTTAAATCAGTTTAATGTAATTTATTTAAAATAATTTATTATTAAAGTAAATTTAACAGCATCTTCTACGACGATGATCAATATCGATATCAATATTAATAATGTTACTGTTACCACCACTGCATGGATTGAAATATGGATTGAACCCACATGAACCGCCACCTAAGCTATTGCCCAACCAAACTGACCCATTGTCAGAGAATGAGACACTTCCAGATGAGCTTAACATTAATTTAGATGAGGCACCGTTAACAGGGTTCATTGATGAAATAGACTCTATAAAAAATAATAAACAAAATAAATGTTAATAATCTATATATTTTTATAATATAATTATAGTTTTATTAATATTTACTAATAATTGACATTTTATAATATAGTATTTATCTTTTTAATATATAGTTTGATTTTAATTGAAACGAATATTAAATTTTTTTTTTATACATTGGTAAATTTGTGAAAGATAATTCTTATTAAGAAATAATTTAAAACAACAAGATGATTTTATAAAAATTAAATAAACATATTTTTTAAAAAAACTAAATAAATTAAAAAAAATATTATATTTAATATAAAAAAGATTAAAATTTATTTTAATGAACATCAATGCACTATTAGTATGAAAAATCTGTAAGAACAAAATTCCAATCATCTTTAATACTTTTTGCCAATGATGTTTGTTTAAATTTTTTTAATATATATAAAATAAATAAATTTAGAATTTTAAAAATAAAAAAATAAAAAATTAAATAATTTTTTAAATTAAAAAATTCATCCTTTTTATTAAATTAATACAAATTTTCATTGTAACATAATTATTTAATCAAAACTATAACATCAATAACACATTTTTTAATATAACATTCAATCTCTATATTATATTTTTTTTTTTGTATTTTTACAACTTTTTTTTTTTTTTTATTTTTTTTTTATTAATAATATAAAATACTTTTTAGAAATGGAAAAGCTACTTCAGTGTTTAATATATCATTCTTTAGAGAATTTAATAATTTTAAAATATTAGATTTAATTAAAGTGTTCAATTTTAAATAAATATAAAGAAAAATGAATTACACTTTATAAAATTATATATTATTTCTTTAATTTTAAAAAAAAATTATTATTTCTAAAAAACAAAAAAAATATTTTAAAACAGTTCTACATTTATATTTTTTAAAAATTATATTTTATTTATTTATTTTTTTAATTATTATATTTTTTTATTTAAAAAAAATTAACAAAAAAGTTTTTTTTTTAATTCATTAAAAAATAATAGCTTTCAAAATTATAATCACATAATATTTTTTTACAGCTTATATTTTTAAAAACCCTTTATCATTTAAACATTCCTATATTTCCATTCAAATATTATTTCTATTTATTATAATACACAATAAAAAAATGTTCAACTCCAAAAATAATAATAATAATAATAATAATAATAATAATAATAATAATAATAATCAAGATGAAGATCAAATAAATTCAAATATTTTCGAAAATTTGGCTTTTGTTTTCGATAAAACCATTAATCTCAAAAGAAAAATTGAGCTAATAAATATTATTAAAAAGAATGGAGGCAAATGCTGCTACTCATGCACAAATGTAATTATATAACTTGTTTAATTTATATTAAAATTTAAAAATAATACTAATTATTAATATTAAAGGCCACACATTTAATCTCCACAAAAGAAGGCTATTTAGAGAAGACCCAAAAAGTTGAACAAGCTCTTTCTTTGGGCATCCCAATTTTGGTTAAAGAATTTGTCTATGATTGTGAACTTAAAAAAGAGTTAATTCCTAATGAAACCTTTTTATTATCATCCTTAACATCTGTAATTAGTTGCAATAGTAATAAAAAAACAAATTATTTAAATACTAATATATACGACTTTTATAATAGTATTCATCTGTTTTATCCCTACCACAAGAGTTAGAGGTAAAATTAAATAATGAAGATAATAATACTCTTGCCTCCATTAATATGGTCGAACTTGATGATGATCAAACAACAACAACCGATACAGCAAATAATAGCTCATCAATTATTACTTTGGGTGCTTTAGAAGATATAAATGGTAATAGTGCAAATACCATCGCTGAAATCAACCCAAAACTTTTAGAAGCCGAAAATCAAGCACTCAAGGAGAGAATTAAAGAGATAGAACATGAATTTAAATGTTATAAAATTGCAAAGGAGAATTTAGAAATGGAGAAAGATTTAGAAATAAAAATAATATTAAAGAGTCAAAGAAATAATAGTACCCTCATTTGATTCTTTAGAAAGCCTCTTAAGAGATCTCGAAAATAGATGTAAAAAGGCTATTGATTTAGAAAAATAATTAAAAAATAAAAAAAAATAAATAAACAAAAACTTTTTAGTTTTTTAATTTTATAGTATATAGTAATTATTTATTTTTATTTATTTTAGATTATCTTTTATGATTTGGTTCATTAAAATATCAGAAGAAGTAACAAAAAATACACGAAGTTAGTGTAAGGTCATGAAAAATAAAGAGTACAAAGGAGATTGCAAAAATTTTATGGTCTCTATTTTAATTTCTTAAGAATTTTTGAATTACAAGCCATGAAACAATGTGTATAAAGCATTTTATAAATAAAATCTTTTATAAATTTTTGTTCGATTTCTAAAGTATCTTTATTTTGAATTCTATTTGAGGCATTTACAGGTGAAAATTTTCTTCTTCTAATGAATTAGATATATGTTTTTTCTTTATGAAGTGTAAATATTTTTCCACCCATTTTTTTTTAGATTTCATTCGTTTTTATAAATTTTTTTTTTGTTTATATTTAAATACCAATGTGTTAATTTCATACACATTTGCTATATCTCTTAAATAAACACAATTCATATTGAAAATTTTTAAATTTTGTCTCTTTTCCCCGTTGGTCTAGTGGTGAGGATTTTCGCCTGTCACGCGAAAGGCCCGGGTTCAATTCCCGGACGGGGAGTCTTTTTTATACTAATATCTTCCGGGTGAATACTTTAAAAAAAAAAAACTTTTTATTTACATGACTACTGCTGTAATGTATTATCATCAAAATTCAATTAATTAATTAATTATAACTTAAATAGTCATTTAATCAAACAATTATAATAATTAATAATTTTAATAATTAAAAATAATTTAATTAAAAAAATAAAAAAATAAAAAATAAAAAAAATAAAATAAAAAATTTTCGAATTTTTCCTTTTATTCAATTTTCTCATAAACTTAAAAATCATATAATTTATTATCTTTATTTTTATTGTTTATTAATTATTTATTTATACTTTAAAGTTCATTTACATTACACTGCATCCGTGTGGTAAAACTCATATAAGTATTAAATACAATAAAAGAACTCGATTATAAGAATCTAACCTCAAAATGGACTAAGCTCGCAACTTTAGAATACATAAAAGGTTTAAAAAACATCAAGTAAAGACACGCTAAACAACCACAAACAATTAGCAACATCAATGAAGAATATAGAAAATTCAAAAGAAGAATAGCAAGAGCATACTTCATCAGCACTTTCAAAAAAAAAAAAAAAAAAAAAGTATGCACATACCAAAAAACAAAATGCAATAAATAAAAATACTGATATACTTTTCTAAAAACCATCATGACCAATTAATTTTTAGTTTAGAATTAAAAATAAAATTTATTTTAATTCAAAACCAGAAAAAATAATAAAAAAAAAAAAAAAAAAAAAAAAAAAAAAAATATAAAAAAAAATTTCGGTTGGATGCCATTTTTGCAAATCCCATCAAAATAAAAAAATTTATATTATATAATTTATATACGATTTAAAATAATATGTTAATGGGTGGAAAGAAAGCATATAAATTGATTTAGAAAAAAAAATTTATTTTTAATTGTTACACTATATAATTTATTTTATTTTTTTATTTTTATTTTTTTATTTTTTATTGTTTAAAAAAAAAAACAATTATAAGAGGGAGTTTTGTTTATTATCATTTTATTATTGGTTTGGTTATTATTACTATTACTTGTTTGCTTTTTTGAACTATCTTGAGATTTTTCTTTTTGCTTTTTACTTTTTTTTTTAATTTTTTTTTTTTTTTTTTTTTAAGGTTCTATATAATACAATGTATATAAATGAATATTTTATAAAACAGAACAACCATTTCCTTTGAGTGGTTTAGTCCATTCATTTTCGCCGCTCCAACCTGGAACAAATGGATCAGCTGTTTTGGTGCAATAGTCTTGTAAACTATTTTATAAAAAAAAAAAAAAAAAATTAGTATTTGTTATTTTATTTATGTGAATAATAAAAATGTTTTGATTTTGATTTTGATTTTTAATTGTTTGATTTTCATATAATAGCTATTAAATCTATAACCAAACTATCCTAACAATTATTATTATTTTTATTATTGTTTAAAAGATTCTTTTTTTATTGTATATACCTTTCGCAGGCTTCTGAAACTTTAAGAATATTGGTTGATTTTTCTAATTGAGCTTTTAAGGTTTCATTTTCTTTGAGAACTTTTTTTAATTGTGATTCGGACATTTTAAATATATGATTAAAGTTTTATTAAAATAAAAAAAAAAAACCAAAAAAAGAGATAATATTGAGTGTGTGTATATATGTACAAAAGACGTAATAGAAAAAAATTTAAAAAAAATTTTAAAAAAAATTTTAAAAAAAAATTTTAAAAAAAAAAAATTAAAAAAAAAAAAAAAATTAAAAAAAAAAAATAAAAAAATAATTTTTTTTTTTTTTTTTTTTATAAACAGTTATAAATCACACAATATTATTTTTAGGGCACTGATATTTATATAATTTCTTTTTTTTTTTTTTGATGATAAAATTAAATCAATTTATATTTTTTTAATTAATTTTAATATTTAATATTTAAATATTATTATTTTTCTATGTTTTTTTTTATTTTATTAAACTATATATAAATCAAATTGAATAAAAAAAAAAAAAAACATAATCTAAATTTAAATTATTTTTTTTTTCTTATGATTAGAAAAAAAATCTTGGGGATGTATTGTGTGAGTGTGTGAGAGAATGTGTGTGAGAGTGTGTTTTTTTGTGGAGTTGGTAATGTACTAACTTAACACACATTTCCCCCCCACTAAAAAAAAATAAAAAAAAAATTATTTGATAAATGGATAAAAATGAATTAATACGAGCGCCAAAATTTTAATTTGAAATATTATATACATTTATTTAAATATATATTTATTCATCTGACATAAATCATATTATTTTTAATTTATTTATTTTTTTTTTCCCATATTCATTTTTTAAAGTATACAGCTGTACACACATTAAGTTTCCCATCAGTTTTTTTTTTTAAAAAATATTTTAGTTTTTAGTTTTTTAGATTGCTGTAGAAAAAGTTTTTAATTATTGATTTTTTTATTTATTTTAATAATTTTTCAGTTTATAAGTTTTTTTATAATAATTTAAAAAAAAAAAAAATTTTCATTTTTTTTATAATAATACATTTTTTTCATTATTTTTCGTATCAACGAATCTTAAAAAAAAAATAAAATAAAAAAAAAAAAAAAAAAAAAAAAAATAAAATATTTAGTTTTTTTTTTTGTATATTTCTCACAAAACTATAAAATTTAATTAATTAATAGATATAATATATTTACCATATATTTCAAAATTTATTTTCATCATTTAATTTGGTAATTTTTTCCTTTTTTTTTAATTATTTTATAAAATTTTTATTTTTCAAAAAATAATTTTTTTTTTTTTTTTCAAAAACTAATTTTTTTTGTTTTTGTTTCATTTATCATTTTTATTCATATTTTTTTATTTTATATATAAATTATTATTTTAAATAATAAATAGGTTGCACACAATAATATAACCATACACAGACATATAATCAGCACCATAATAAAAATAAATAAATATATAAATAAAATTAATGTATTTGTAAAATAGTAATAATAATTAAATAAATATATAATGGAAAACTATGAATCTACACCCAAGAGTCAATTAAGGTCAAGATCACATTCCACGCCTTCAACTCCGACACCATCTACAGCAGCACTAGAAAAAACTCCAGCAGTTACTCCAGGTGTAACACCATCTATAGGTAGATCATTGGTCTTTTCAAGTAAAGACAATGCAAAAAAAGTTTTGAATATGGACACACCAGCAAATAAAAAGAGGTCTTCAACCACACAATCAGGCATTCCTCCACCACCTTCACAGCTTAGTGGAAAAAAAGATCCATCTAGACGTAACTCATCGTTTTTAGGTAGACCATCAACACCACAACCAACTCCAACAAATAGTTTGAATAGTAGCGGTGGTATCAGTAACCCAAATAACCCAACGACCACTACCACCACTACCACATCCACTACCTCTACCACTAATGCTTCCAATGCTACCGTGACAACATCAATAGTATCAAATAATAGTAATACAACTGCTACCACCACAATAACAACACCAAAACACCAAAAGGAACTAAATTTTTCAGAGTTATTACAAAATAATAATTTGGATATAATTAATCAAAATTCTGCCTTTTCTAGTGTTCAGAAATCAAATACATCATCTTCAAGTTTATCATCATCATCAAATTCAACTCCATCACCAACATTATTACCACCCAGTATTTCATTATTACCACCAGATTTATCACTTGATGGAAATCATTACAACAACAACAACAGCAATAATAATAATAGTTATGGTTTAAATTTATCACCAAATTCACAATTTAATAATAATACAAATATTTTAAATAGATCATCTTCACCATCACCAAATGGCAGAAGAACACCAACATCATTTTTAATACCAATAACTCCAACACCATTTTTAAAACCATCATCGTTAAATAATGAAAGAGAGGAGAATATTATGGTTTATTGTAGATTCCGTCCAGAAATTCAATCAGAAAAAAATTTATCATCATCAGAGAAAAAGTTAACAATAGGCGAGGATGGTCGTACTATTCATATCACATCACCCCAAAATTCAACAGCATATAGATTTTCAAAAGTTTTTCAACCAACAACTACCCAAGAATCGTTCTATAATGAAGTCGCAAGACCATTAGTCGATGGTAGGTTAATTATATACATATAGTTAATAAAATACTTTATAATCATACATAGTATACTAATAGTTTATTGTATTTATTACTTTAATGAAATTTAGATGTTTTAAATGGATTTAATGTTGGTATTATTGCATATGGTCAAACTGGAGCAGGTAAAACATATACACAATTTGGTAAAGATATTGGCGATGAATTACCACTTACAGAGCAGGAAGGCTATGGTATCACACCACGTTTCATCAAAGATTTATTGAACAGGGTTAACTATTTGTCATCAGATCGTGTTAGATTTACAGTTAGAGTATCATATCTCGAACTTTATAGAGAGAAACTTTATGACTTGATTAACGATAAGGCAGAGCTGGATATTAGAATGAGCGACAATGGATTTAATGCTCCAGATGCATCACAACCACCAATTCAATCATTTGCAGATTTTTTACACTATATACATAATGGTGAAAAAAATAGAAGTTATGGTGATAATAGTATGTAGCAGAAATACTTTTAAATTTTTCAAATTAAAAAAAAAATCAAAGTTATTAACCTTTTTTATTTATTATTATTTAGAAAAAAATATGAATAGTTCTAGAAGTCATGTATTATTTATAGCGACAATATTAAAAGAGGATTTGGAAAATAAAGATAGTTTCTTATCGTCGTTGTATATTGTAGATTTAGCAGGATCAGAGAGTGTATCACAAACTGGTGCAACTGGATCAAGATTAGACGAAACCAAATCAATTAATAAATCATTGTTTGCATTGGGCGGAGTTATTGAAGATATGGCAAAGAAATCAAAGAAATCACAACATGTTAGATATAGAGACAGCAATCTTACTAAATTGCTCCATAGTTGTTTTGGTGGCAACTCAAAAACTCACCTTATTGTAAATTGCTCAAGCTCAAATAACGAAACTGTTCTTAGAGATACAACTCAATCTCTAAGTTTTGCTGAACGTACTCAGTCAGTTAAAAATAAACCACAAGTAAATGTAGAGTTATCAAATCATCAGTTAAAACAATATATTCAAGGATTGAAAAGCGAAAATAGTCATCTTAGAAAGTTTATTGAATCAAACTCTTCAAATATGGGTACCATATCACCAAGTCAAATTTCATCTTATATTGTAGAGCTTCAAAACTCATTAGAGCAATATAAAACCCACCAAGAGCTTTTGGATTCAAATATTAGAAATCTTGAGGATGACATCAATCAGCTAGAAGAGCAAAAGAGGGTCAGCGAAGAGGAAAAGACTTTAATGAAGCAAGAGAATAACAAAAAATTTGAAGAGTGTAACCAAGATTTCAAAAAAATTCAAAATCTATTTGAAGAGAGTAATAGATATATTAAAAGTTTAGAAGATGAAAGAGCCGAACTTCAAGAGAGAATCGAAGAACTAACGGAATTAATTGAAGACCTACAAAATAAATACAAGGGACTACAATCACAAGAGGTTATTATGGGTGAAGAGCTTGAAAAGTCATTAAATGAAAGAGAGGATTTATTAGGCCATTTAAATAAAATTAAAGAAAAGAACAAAGAAATGGAAAAAGATAAATTTATTGCCGATGAATTACGAATAAAGCTTACCAACAAGGAGGATCTCATAGTAAACCTGAATCAAGAGATAGAGCAATTAAATACTCAAAAGATAAAATGGAAAAACAAGAGCCAAGATAACTTGAAACAAAAAAATCAATTAGAGGAGCAGTTAAAACTATTACAAACCACCAACGATATTAACGAAAATGAAAAAATCAGGAATCAATCATACAGATTACTCGAATTACAATCACAATTAACACTTTCGATGGAACGTGAAGAGCTACTCAAAAAGGAAACTGAAACAACTAAAAATAAAAACAATGAACAAACCATTATACTTCAAAACTTTAAAAATCAAATGGATACATTGACCAATAAGATTGAAATTGAATTCCCAACTATTGTAAATACTCAAAAAAAAATTCAACAACAAATTCAACAGCAATCTTCCTCATCCTCATCAAATTCAGTCGAAACCAATTTAATAGTCTCAATCACTACCCTCGAAAATCTATTTGAAAAAATTATAAAAAAACAAGAACAAACCAATACAATAATAAACACAAATACATCTTCAATCATGGAAAAGTTGGTCGAAATCGATGAAAATGAAGAGTTTATAAAAAAAGAAAGAGAAAAGGATTCTATTAATTTAAATAATAATTCAAAAATTATTGAAGAAATTCAATCAAATTTTTTACAAAAACAAGAAGAAATTAAACAATTAATTAAAGATCATTTCAATAATAATTTAAATGATAGTAATAGCATTAATAATAATTTAAATAATAATTCAAATAGTAAAAATAATAAGAGCGCTAATAATAACAATAACAACATTGATAAATCAATTAAAAAAGGTGGCAGAAATTCTAAAAGTAGTAATAGTATTTGTATGGTATGTATAAAATTATTTTTTATAAAAAAAACCTAATCTAACAGTTTTATTATTTTCTATAGAATATTTTAATAGTTATAGTGGGCATTATAGTTTTATTCTTTTTAATGGTTGGGGTTGGATTAACTATTCAACAACATGATGGAGTTCCATATAATTCCAATTTCTACAAAGCTACTTAAATAAAAACTAAATAAAATATTATAAAAAAATAGTTTTATGTAAAAAAAAAATTAATTTGCTTTATTATTTACAGTTTTTTAATTATTAATTTAATTATTTATTGTTTATTATTTATTATTTATTGTTTATTATTTTAGTTATTACTTGATTGAATGTTTTCATTTTCATCATCATCATCGTCGTCATCTTCATCTAAATTTATATCTGAACGATAGTTAATAGTTGTTCTTTTTGCAGTATTTACAGAAGTATTTGATAATGGAATGTTTTGGTTTTGCTGAAAATCAAATTGTTGTTGTTGCTGTTGTTGTAAATCATATTGTTGAAAATCGAATTGTTGTTGTTGTTGTTGTTGTTGTCTTAGTAAATCATATTGTTGTAAATCATGTTGATCTTTGAATGAATGTGGTAGGAATGAATGTTGGTAAATATTCTGTTGTTGCTGTTGTTGTGAAATATTATATTGATAGTTTGAATTTGGAGTTTGTTGTTGTTGCTGTTGAAGGTCATGATCTAATGGCATTCCATCCATCATATCGTCATGGTCATCTTCATGAGAAGAGAAAATAGGTTGTTGCTGATAGTTTTGATTTGTGTTTGGTGAGCCCATTGAAGTATTTCTGTAGTTTTGATGATGCTCAGATCTACTATTAAATGATGAGGAGTCTGCAAAATATTGATGTTGTGGTGTGACTGGTGGAGCTGATTGGTATTGTTGTGCTTGTTGTGCATTTCTTGGTTGGTTTGAGTTATATAATGTGGCTAAAATAAAATCTGCATGAAAAGTAGAGTTGTAGTTGAAGCTTATATTAAATGGTCTTCCGCACTGGTCAATTAGCATTGTATATGGGTTATTTATTACATCGATATATGCCAAAATAGTTTTTATATCTTTATATCCAAATGAAATTTCAGCACCAGGTCCTCTAAAAACATAGTTATCAAAATCTTGATAATCCACCGTAACTTCAGTTGCTAATGCTTTTGTATTAGGTTCTATAATGATGGCAATGGGTAAATAAATTAGTATATTATATATATGATTTGTATGATAAAAATTATTAAACAATTACTTTTTTCATCGACCTGACTCCTTAAAATAACACGATCTTTTTGAATTAGCATTGCAATTTCTTCGACATTACTTGAAAAAAAGTTTAAACAGTCAGAGAGTTGTTTTGGTTTGGCAGTAATCTTGTAAGGTGGATCTCTATTAAATACAGCAGCAGGACATTGACTTTCTTCATAGTTCATAGAGTAAATCTTTTGAATACCGTTTTTGCAAAGTAAATAGAATGTAATTTTACTTTCATCATTTACAATCTTCATTGCACATTTGTCTATATTACTGAGTGAGTGAAACATTTGAAAACATAGTTTAGACTTGACTCTGTATTGATTTTGTGGTATAATATCATCTTTTTCAAATATATAATTTTGAAAGAAACTGCTGTGAAATGTGAATGTGGCATATGCTGATCTAGATGAATTAACTGTAACAAATTTTATAAAATCTTCATGAATTTCAATATATAAATCATCACCAATTCTACTTATACATTGTAAACTTTTTGAAAATTGCTTTTATTTCAAAAAAAAATTAATATTTTAATTTTATTTTTATTTTTACCTTATTTAATTTAATAATACCTACTTTTATATGTCTTGAGGCAACAACAAAATGCATGTTTATTTATTATTTATTATTATTTTATTATTTATTTATTTATCTATATATATATTTACAAAAAAAACTATTAAATTAATTAATTTTTATGAAAACTAAATTTAAAAAAAAAAAAATGTTTTTTAATTTTTTTTAAATTTTTTAAAAATTTATTTTTTTATTTTTAAATATTTTTTCCTTATAATAAATTGATATTTTCGAAGTAATTGGATATGTGTGGTGTGTAGTATTTCAAATTAAAGTTCGAATTTGTCGAATTAAAATAATTAATTGTTTAATTTTAAATTATTTAATTTATTTAATTTATTAAAATTTTATTAAAATTAACTTTTTTTAAAAAAATGTTTATTTTTAATTTGGAAAATAAATTACTATTTGTTGGATTTTTAAATTTGATTTCTGAATATTTATCTTCAACAACTATTAATTGGGTTATATTTGGATTATTATTGCAGTGTTGTAAAAATTGGTTTAACGAGGATGGGTTGCAGTAGAGTGTTGAGATATTTTTCATTTCACATAATGGAGACAACCAAATATAGTCATTATCTTGATTTAAATTGAAAGCCTCTAGTCCTAATTTTTTTAGAGTTTTATTACCATTTAAATTTTCTAAAATAATTGATAGATGATTAATTGTATTACCAGGATCTTTTGAAAAGCAGGATTTGAACCTTAATTTTAACAGCGAGGTGTTTTTTGATAATTCTGCATCTTTATACATTAATTCAAATTCGGATTGTGTGTATTTGTGAGGTTTGTTTGAATAGATATTTCCATCATTATCATTATCATCATTATCTTCATTATCTTCTTCATCTTCATCTTCATCCTCATCATCAATATTAAAACCATATTTATAATTATGTAATCTAACAGTTAATGATTTTAGAAATGGTGATTTTAATTGAATTGACTGTATAAAAAAGCTGTGAGGGGTTTCATGATCTGAAAAATCAATACTTTCAAGATTATTTCCACTATTTTTTAAAATACCTTCTAAATTATTAAGTTGTATACACATTTGGGTTTTTGGTGCCGTCGATATTTTTAATTTTTTTATTTTGTATTCGTTTAGGAATTCGAAAGAAAATGGATAATTTACATTTTCACGAATATCAAGGTTATTAAATTCTTGTGTGGATGATTGTGGAATATTAATGGTGTCCCAATATAGTGATATCTTTTCAAAATGAAAAAATTCTTTGATTTGTTGATTATAATTTTCAAATGATATAATTTCAAAATAGTCACTGATAATTGCTTGCGTAAATTGATTTCCTAATATTTTTTTAAATTCATTCTTTGTTTCTAATAATTCTTGTGTATTAAAAAATATATTTTCAAGTTTAAAAATATAATTTTGAATATTATTAATTTTAATTAATTTATTATTATTATTATTATTATTATTATTATTATTATTATTATTATTATTATTATTATTATTATTATTATTATTATTATTGTTATTATTATTAATATAAAATTTAAATTCGTTAAAATATGGGTAAAATTTTATTAAATTTTGTTTGTTTGTTATATAGAATTGAACTGTTTTGAATGATTGTTTGCATATTAAACTAAATTCTAGTAATTGTGTGAAAGAACATTGATATAATAAATATATTTCGAGCTCACTATAAATTAAGGGATTTAATTTATTATTATTATTCATTTTTACATCAATTATTTAATAAAAAAAAAAGGGTTTTTTTTAATTTTTTTTTTAAATTTTATTTTATTTTCTTTTTTTTTAAATTTTATTTTATTTTCTTTTTTTACTTTTTTTTTATGCATCTTTAAATTTTTTTTCGTTTATATTTTTTATAAAAACAATTAAATTAATATATTTTTAATAATATGTTAAATAATGAATAATGAAATATTTAATATAAATAATATAAATAATGATAATAATAATAATGATAAATTATTTTTTAAAGTTTGGAGAAATATTTTAATTAAAAGAGAAATTAAAAAACATTTGGATTTATATCGTATATATTATAGGGTAACTGCAGAATCGAAAAGTTGTTTATTAAATGTCAATAGAAATTATATATCAATTTTAGAATATGGTTTTGATGAATTTATAGACATAGATTTAATTCCCCCATCAGTGACAACGCTAGAGTTTTGCAATTGGTTTAACCAGCCTATTGTAAAGGGTGCTATACCAGACTCTGTAAATAGAATTGTATTTGGATTCACTTATAACCAACCAGTAATTGTAGGTGCCATTCCTTGTTCTGTTCAAAACATCTCTTTTGATGAACTATTTAACCAAACTATAACCAAAGGTTGTATACCACCATCGGTACACACTTTAAAGGTATTTATTACTCATCTATTTTTATAATTATCACTTTAAAAAGATTATCTTGCTAATATTTATTTTTTATTATTAGTTTGGAACAAGATTTAATAAATATATAGCCCCATTGGTTTTACCACCCTCTATAACTAAACTAGTATTTGGATATGAATACAATCATTCATTAGAAAATTCAATACCATCTTCAATAACTACGTTATCTCTAGGTCAATCATTTCAACTTTGTAAATATGGTTCAAATCTACCGGATTCAATTACAAGTTTCACGTGTAGTTATAATTTCGATAAACCACTAGAATCAAATAATAATATACCGAAAAAAGTATTATATTTAACATTGGATAATTATAACCACCCAATCATCAAAGATAGCATTCCATCAACATGTCACACATTGATACTAGGCTCTGAATTTAGGCATTTCGAATCATTATCAAATCTTTCATCAAGTGTATCTAGCCTTACTTTTGGTGTAAAGGATTGCCAATTATCCAATTATCAAATCAAACAATATATTTCAAAAACAATTTCTAAAATTGAAATTAAACGAAATTAAATTTATATTATAATAAAATATTTTAAAACACAATATGTAATGTATTATCAAAAGTTCATTTACATTACAAATAATGTTTTTTTTTTTTTTTTTTTTTTTTTTTTTTTTTTTTTTTTTTTTTTTTTTTTTTTTTTTTTTTTTTTTTTTTTTTTTTTTAAAGGGGAAAAAAAAAAAAAAAAGTTTTTTTTTTATAACAAAAAAAACCCCCTTTTAAAAAAGGGGGGGGGCCGAAAAAAAACCGGGGGGGGTATAAAAAACCCCCCCAAGGGGCCCCCCCCAAAAAAAAATCCCCCGGGGGGAAAAAAAACGCTTTAAAAAAAATTTTGGGGGGGGGG